CGGGCTGGGCCGGGCCGCCGCAGGGGTCGGGCGTTGGGGCGCCTTGGGCGTGGGGGCGCACCTGGAGGGTGTCAGTGAGCGTGGGAGCGGGAGGAGGCGCGGGAGCGCGCAGGACTCGGGGTGCTCGGTTCTGACGTCCTCCCGGCCGCAGGTGGGAGCCCCAGGACCCAGACCCCCCCAGGACTGCCGCCGAGCTGCGTGGGGCGGGGTCTGGGCGGCAGAGCGCAAGTCGGGGCCAGCGGACCTGCCAGGCTGGCGCGGGGGGCGCCGAGCGAGCCCGACGCCCGCGTGTCCCCCGCGACCTACAGCGTGAGGTGCTACTCGTGCTCCACCATCAACGACTTCAACTGCCCGGACCTCATAGACTGCCCCTACGACTCCCGGCGCTGCCTCACCGTCTCCATCCGTGCGTCCCCCTTGGCTCTCAGCTGCATCCTTCGGGACGCCCCGTGGGAGGCTACGGCGGGTTCTTCAGCGGTGGGGGTGCAGGCCCCCCGCGACCCGCCCTGCCTGTGCCGCAGCCGGCTGCCCAGCAGCCTGGCAGCCTGAGGGCCAGCGGCCCCGGTGACGCATCTGCCCTGGCCACCCGATGAGTCTGACGCCGGGCCCTGCCCCGGTGGCCGAGGCTGGCGGCGTGAGGGGTGGCCTGGGGAGGGCCAGTCTGGGGCGGGCGTGGGCTCTGGGCCTGGGGTCCCGCGGGCACAGCGCGGGCACCTTGACCCCCTCGTCCGTCCTCTCTAGGCCTCAACTCGCGCCAGCTACTCATTTACAAGAATTGCACCGACAACTGCACGTTCGTGTATCCGGAGCAAGTCCCCCCGGCCGTCCCCCGGAAGGTGAAGACCACACATTTCTACTTCGTGCGCTGCTGTGGGGCCATGCGGTGCAACGAGGGGGGGCCCACCAACCTGGAGCGGGACATCCAGCCCGAGGGGACCGTGGAGGAGGAGATCGAGGCGGCCGAGCGCCTGGACGGGCCCGGGCTGCTGTTCAGCCTGGCCTCTCTGCTGGCCAGCAGGGCGCTGACCTGACCGCCTCTGTGCACGGCCCCTGGGTCTGGCGGAGACTGCGGTGCGGGCCGGCCGGCCGCTCCCCGCGAGCCGACTCTGGGGCGCAGTAAAGAGCTCGGAGTCGGGGTCTCACTTCAGTGTCTGGTGGTGTCTGTGCGTGACCCCGCCCGCCCGTGCCCTGACTGGCCCAGCACACTGGCCGTCCGGGCAGCAGAGGCTGACAGTCCCCGTCCAAGCCAGCTGGTGCTCACACCTCGGCCCCGGGCCCACAGGCCGCCCGCACTTCCCAGGTGGGGGAGCAGCGGGGACGCCCCTGGAGGTGGCGGGGGTCGGGACCCTGGCTGGACTCTGGTGTGGGCTGCCTGGCGCAGTGCGCAGAAATGCAGGGACGGGTGAGGAGGGGCGGGGGCAGGTCCGCAGGTGGCCTGTGCCAGTGGCTGCCGTGGACAGGGCTCAGCAGCTGGGCAGGGGCGCGCCCCGCAGCGGGGACAGCTCAGCCGGCAGCCTGATGTCCCCTGGTCACCAGGCCTCTGCTCCTGGGGCTCTGCGAGGGGGCCCGGCCTCCAAGCCTTGC